GGGTGCTTTTCTGTTTGCAGGGAACAACTGTATGTTTGCTGGCTGCAGGGTCTGAACCCTGGAGAGGGGAAGCAATCAGGCGGGAGGGAGCGTGGCACTTTGGTCTGGGGCTAATGCACCTGCTTCCATGGCCTGGGTCTTACCCTGAAGCTGCTGTGGCTCAGGGAAAGGCAGCCCCTGTAATCAGGCAGCAAATCCTTGGAACCGCAAGTATCTGACCATCGGCAGGGATTCTGGCATCAAATATCAGGTGATTGGACGGCGCCCCACTTCCCTTTCAGTCTTGAGATTGGCCCCTTCATTGTAGAGGACCCAGAGCAGAACGCGGACCCCTGCAGACCAGCCTGTGTCCTTCCCCGCCCCCGCCCTTCACGCCCACACACGCAGTCACTGCTGATTGGACATGGATTGGACACGTGACCCAAAGCAGCCAATCAACTGGCTTAGGAGCACCCTGTGACATCTGCAGCCTGGGATGCGCAGAGCTGAGGCCACTGGGTTTCCTCTCCTGAAAACTGGACCCAAAATGCAGAAAAAAAAAAAGTCAGTGAGAGGCACCATACTTGAAAGAGTGTAACCTTAGGGTTGGCAGTGATGTGCAAGATAAAGTCAAAGGTAAGGAGAGAAAAGTGAGCAAGTACAAGGAGAGGGAATCTACAGAGCAAAGGAAGCCGCAGAGGCACAGGGACCAGACTGCACAGCCTCAGAGCTGGCAAGTCCCCTGCCTTGGTTTCCCTCAGGTTTCTGTTTCAGGTTTCCCTCAGTATTGTTCCCCAATACTGCCTGACATCAGGCCCAAGAGTAATTAACTTCCTGTCCTGAGAGCTTGTGACATCTGATTGGCCTCCTTTCAAACCTTAAAGCTTCAGAAATCATGAATCTTAATGGGTAATACAAAAGGCGAATGCAGATGAACATGTATTCTGTTATACAGCAGCAAAGCAGCAAGGGAGAAAAGTGATACAATTGCTTCCATTCTATCATTAATGTCACTTAATTTTGAATAAATTCACTTTAGATACATTTGAAAGTAACTTCCAGCTATAGTTATTTATTTACTGGGTTAAAAACTGAAGTAAAACTTTTCCTTCACTCATGATCTAAGTCTACTATGGAAATTTTGCCAGAAAGAGCTATTAAGTAACTCCTGCAAAGGGCACCTTTAGTGCCTAAGCTGACTCAAAAGGCAAGGGGGGCATCCTAGGGTTTGCTGTGTATGTGTGTAAAAATTAGCAGGAAAATACCTAGAACAGCATTTCAAAGAAAATTCATGCCTCAGAAAGTTTCTTATAAAAAATGCACAGGCCGGGTGTAGTGGTTCACACCTGTAATCTTGCACTTTGGGAGGCCAGGGTGGGCAGATCACTTGAGGCTAGGAGTTCGAGACCAGCCTGGTTAACATGGAGAAACCCTGTCTCTATTAAAAATACGAAAATTAGCCAGGCATGGTGGTGTGTGCCTGTAGTCCCAGCTACTTGGGAGGCCGAGGCAGGAGAACTGCTTGAACCCGGAAGGTAGAGGTTGCAGTGAGCTGAAACGGTGCCGTTGCACTTCAGCCTGAGCCTGACAGAGCAAGAATCCGTCTCAAAAAAAAAACTACAATCACCCCAAACAAAATTTTGGAATTAAAAAAAAAAAAAATGAAGGAGACTCTAGTTTATAGGATGCCCTTCTTTTTTGCTTTTCTAGTTTATGGGATGTTTTTCTTGATATAAAACAACATACTACCAAGCCCTTCACAAGGCACATCAGTTAAAAAATAAGCAGTCTCTGTTACCAATGCTCAAATCTCTGTCTACTGGGACCAGGCATGGTGGATACAAATGGCAACAATACGGTTTCTACCCTTAGGGGAAAATCCCAGAAGCAGACCTTTTCCTGGAGGAGACAGTCCCTGAGCTCGATCCTGAAGAAGGGTGCCCCCTAAAAAGCAGGACAGGAGAAAGGGCATGCCCCGCACCAGGAACATTTTGTGTCTAAACAAGCTCAAGGGCTACAAGCTGAATCTTGTAGTGTGCATACAAATACAGAACTCACATTTTAGTGATTGAGAAACACAGTGTTTTATAAAGGTAAGGCTAACAAAATGAAAGCCTCAGAACACTACTCCAATGCAAACTTAACTTCATGGTACCCATTTCTACTCCTTTTTTTCTTTTCTTTTTTTTTTTTTTTTGTGACAGAGCCTCACTCTGTCCCCAGGCTGGAGTACAGTGGTGTGATCTTGGTTCACTGCAACCTTCGCCTCCTGAGTTCAAGCGATTCTCCTGCCTCAGCCTCCTGAGTAGCTGGGATTACAGGCATGCGCCACCATGCCTGGCTACTTTTTGTATTTTTAGTAGAGTCGGGATCTCGCCATGTTGGCCAGGCTGGTCTCCAACCCCTGACCTCAGGCGACCCGCCCTCCTAGGCCTCCCAAAGTGCTGGGATTACAGGCATGAGCCACCATGCCCCGACTTCTCCCATTTTTAAAAGTTATCACTACCAGATTTTCCTGCAGCCCTAGGCCCAAAGGATTTCTCTCATCCTCTTTCAAGTCCTCACCATTCTGAAGGCACTCGCCCTGGATGTTTATAGGACAGCTAAGTGGCCCTAAGGAAGAGTGAACTTTGGGAAAAGATCAGTGGGAAAGAATTAAGTGGGACTGTATTCCTAGCAGGTACTTTCAAGAGGAAATCTATAAACCGATAAGGAAAGCTAAAAACACAATATGCTCCTGAAATTGAAATATGTATATTTTGATCTGTTGAAACCTAAGAATGAAACTGAACCAGATTTTGGCAAATTAATTTACATTCCCCAAGCCCTATATGTTAAGTGGGTGCTCCTTGGAATCACCTATGGGGCCAGGAAAGAAATAGAGGGAAGAGAAAGAAGGGTGGTAAGGAGGAAGGGAAGAAACCAGCACTTCCCAGAGGCAGAGCTGGGTGTGTGCTGAGGTGCTCAGAGTAGGGGGAAGTCAGGATTTTCACACCAGAAAACAAAGAAATGAGCAGAGGCCCCAGAGAATAATGTGGTCCTTAAAGTTTGGCAGCCTTTCTCAAATTCCTTATCAACATCCCTCAAGGAATCAGAAGTAAACTGTCAACTGCAGCTTCTCCTCAGTAGACTGAGCCACCCACAGCCAGATAACTGCACAATCAACTAAAATTTTACGTCATGTGTATTAGGTGCATACATAACACTACTTCAAGGCATGATGGAGCTATCCAAGGCCAGGCAAGGTGGCTCACATCTGTAATCCCAACACTTTGGGAGGTCAAAGCGCTTGAACCCAGAAGTTCAAGACCAGCCAGGGCAAGATGGTGAGACCCCATCTCTACCTAAACATTTTAAAAATCAGCCAGGTGTAGCGACACATGCCTGCTGTGAAAGGATGGCTTGAGTCTGGAAGGTTGAGATCCACCATGACAGTGCCACTGCACTCCAACCTGGACGACAGAGCGAGACCCTGTCCTATTAAAATTGTGTGTGTGTGTGTGTGTGTGTGCACGTGCACGCACCCATGCGTTTAGAAAACTGTGTATATAGATGTGTGTGTGTGTATATATATATACACATAAACTCTGATAAAAAAAATTAACTATTAATAAAATGCAAGACAGAGGTAACTACCACCACCTGTACAAAGTGCACTTTTTTTTTTTTTTTCAGACGGAGTTTGGGTCTTATTGCCCAGGCTGCAGTGCAGTGGCACGATCTCGGCTCACCGCAACCTCCGCCTCTCCAGTTCAAGGGACTCTCCTGCCTCAGCCTCCAGAGTAGCTGGGTCCACAGGCATGCGCCCCCACGCCCGGCTAATTTTGTATTTTTAGTAGAGACAGGGTTTCTCCATGTTGGTCAGGCTGGTCTCGAACTCCCAACCTCAGATGATCCGCCCGCCTCGGCCTCCCAACGTGCTGGGATTACAGGTGTGAGCCACCGCGCGCGGCCCAAAGTGCACTTTTTAATATGCCTTCACTATTCAACCACGGGCACCCACGGGCCAGAAAGAACAAAGGCACAGTTAACTCCACTGCTCTGGAGACAAGAAAGCTGACAACAAGGAATCTGATGCGTTCCTTCAATGGGAAGGAAACACCCTGACGTTGGAAGTGGTCTCCACACCGGGTTGTACACTGATGGGGGGCGGAGTCGGGGGCAGGCCAACACCTCAACAGCAGTCACCAAAACTGTACTTTTAACTATCAATAGCAAGTATTAACATGCTTATAGATTGCTGCTAACAGCTGGCCAAAGAAAGGTGCACACAAATGCCCCTTTTTAAAAACTAAAAATAGCAAGGATTGTAAACTTGGGGGATGGGGGTGTTGGGGGAAGCACATACTAGAAATCAGTTTGGGCAGAATTCGGGCTGTAAATGGACAGGTTTAGCAAACCATCCGGGCTCAACCGCCCCCACCTCTCCTCTGGAAACAGCGCCTCGCCCAGGAAATAGGGCGGCCTGTGTGTTCGCCTAACACCTGCCGCGGCCTCCAGCGACGTGGTCGCGGATAGGACGGCGCCGGCACCCTCCCTGCGGGGCTAGTCCCGTCTCCGTCACTGAACGCTATGACTTAGGTACCCTGCTTAGTCTCAGTGTTCTCACTCGTAAAGGGGATGAGAACACAGTCGTCGCAGGATGAGCCAGAATTCGTTTCGTTCGACACGGTGCCTGGCACTTCTCTGGGGACCTGCGGGCAGGCGCGGCGACATTCGACAGGGTCCGGGAGCCGCGGGCCCCGCGGCCTGCGCGGTCAGCCTCGGAACCTCCTGCAACGCCGGCTCCGGGTAAGCAGACCCAACTCCGCGGGGCGCCTCCACCTGCCCAGCTCCGCCAGCCGCGCAGCTCCCCGAGCCCGCCAGTGCCGCGGGGACCGCAGGGCGCAGGGCGTCGGAGGACCAGAGGCGGGGGCGGGGACAGCGACCCGGCGCCCACCCCGAGGGCCCCACACGCGGGAACCACGTCCCCGGCGTCTCCCCGGGCTCCAGGGGCAGCAGCGCGGCTTGGAGCCCTTTACCTGCCGACGATCACCACGCAGCCGGCCGCGGAGGACGCCATGGCTGGGCCGGGGACGCGGCGCCGCGGGCGCTGGGACCAGGCGCGGGTGGAGCTTGGAGCTCGGCGCTCCGGGGAGGGCGGGTCCCGCGCCCATTGGCTGCGCGCGCGGACCGGGAGGGCGGGGAGGGCGTTGCGCGTCGCGGGCCGGAGACACCCGGAGACGCCCCGCGCGCCGACCCTCGGGGGCGGGGGCAGGACCAGCGCGCGGGCACGTCGGGGTTGGGGGGAGCGGGAAGCCCACGCGCTTGTGACGCGCAGCATTCACCGTGTCTCAGGAGGGGCGCGGCCAGGATGGCGCGGGCTGTAGCGCTAAAGCGCGCTGGAGAAACCGTCAGAGACTGTCCCCTTCGCTGACTCGTCTCTGAAGGACGCCCGGCGCCGCCGCCAGGTGCGCACTGGGCGCGGGAACGGCGACACGTTAGCACCAGAGGCGTTCATCTGCGCGGCGGCAGGACGCGGCTGAATCCCCCGCGGAGCACGCGCCGCACTGGGTTCGTGTGTGGGAAAGAGGAAATGCGCTGGTGCCCTGACTCCTGGAAGCCTTGGAGCCCGGGGCTGGGCTTTTTTTTTTTTAAAGTGTCAGTTCATATGAATAGTTTTGATTCAGTTCTAACATCATTGTGTTTCTCTTTAAACTTTTTGTTTATATAATTAAACCTTATGTTCTCTTATGGTGAAGTCTTCGTGCCAAACAAAATCAAATTTATTTTTGGCTTAACTGAAATTCAAAAAAAATAAAAATAGTAATACCTGTATTGGTTTGAAAAATAAAACCAATTTTTTTATCTGTCCCCGCCCACATCATGCTGATTGGTCCATTTTACAGAGTGTTGATTAGACCATTTACAATCCTCTAGCTAGACACAGAGCACTGATTGGTGCATTTACAATCCTCTAGCTAGACAGGAAAGTTCTCCGAGTCCCCACCCGACCCAGAAGCCCATAAATAAATACTGCACATATAACCAAATACTCAGCTGCTGCCTGGGCCAGATAATGGTAAAATCAAACAGGACAGACTTCAGAGGCTGAATTTCTTATGTTTTTCCACTGTTTCACAAAGTCAGGTAGGATTGATTAATGCACTCCTTTAATAGCTCAATATTACCACAAGAGAAGACAAGTAGGCCACAGTTGCCAGCTTTTAAGAACTAACAGCTTGAATGCCAACACTTCAAACTGAAAATGTTCTTAGGCAACCATATGACATGAGAATCCCAAGTAACTCCAGAAACCACTCTGAGATACAGTCTCACGACAAAAAGGACTATAAAGAAAATCTTGAACTTCACATGGTAGTTTTATTTTTCAAACCAATACAGGTATTACTATTTTTATTTTTTATTTTTTGTATTTCAGTTAAGCCAAAAATAAATTTGATTTTGTTTGGCACGAAGATTTCACCATAAGAGAACATAAGGTTTAATTATACAAACAAAAAGTTCAAAGAGAAACACAATGATGTTAGAACTGAATCAAAAATATTCATATGAGCTGACACTTTAAAAAAAAAAAAAAAAAGGCCAGGCACTTGGCTCACGCCTGTAATCCCAGCACTTTGGGAGGCCAAGGCAGGTGGATCACAAGGTCAGGAGATCGAGACCATTCTGGCTTACACGGTGAAACCCCATCTCTACTAAAATTACAAAAAATTAGCCAGGCATGGTGGCGGGTGCCTGTAGTCCCAGCTACTCGGAAGGCTGAGGCAGGAGAGTGGCTTGAACCTGGAGGCAGAGCTTGCAGTGAGCCAAGATCGTGCCACTGCACTCCAGCCTGGGCGACAGAGCAAGACTGAGTCTTAAATAAATAAATAAATAAATAAATAAATAAGGCTGAGCACAGTGGCTCCCACCTGCAATAATCCCAGCACTTTGGGAGGCCAAGGCGGGAGGATGGCTAGAAGCCAGGAGTTTGAGACCAGCCTAGGCAACATAGCAAGACCCCATTTCTACAAATAAAAATTTGGGGGCTGGGCACAGTGGCTTATGCCTGTAATTCCAGCACTTTGGGAGGCCGAGGTGGGTGGATACCTGAGGTCAGGAGTTCAAGACCAGCCTGACCAACATGGCAAAACCCCATCTCTAATAAAAATACAAAATTAGCCAGGCATGGTAGTGCATGCTTGTAACCCCAGCTACTCGGGAGACTGAGGCAGGAGAATCTTTTGAACACGGTAGGTGGAGGTTGCAATGAGCCGATTGCGGCATTGCGCTCTAGCCTAGGCAACAAGAACGAAACTCCGTCTCAAAAAAAAAAAAAAACATAAAAACATTTTTTGAAAAACTAGCCAGGTGTAATGGCACATACCTGTAGTCCCAAGTACTCAGGAGGCTGAGGTAGGAGGATCCTTTAATCCTAGGAGTTCGAGGCTGCAGTGAGCTATGATCCTGCCATTGCACTCCAGCCTGGGCAGCAGAACGAGATCCTGTCTCTCAAAAATAAAAAAGAGTATTTTCCAGTTCCGCCCTCTGAAATGGCCTCGGATTCATGCCACTGGTATTTCAAATATGACCTGAAACCCCAATGCTCAAACCTTGCCATTTTTTCACTAGAAGGAACCAGAATTCCTTAGAGAAATGATTGACTGTGTTCAGAGAAGGAAGGGGACAAGGCTGGTCTGGGACACTTCTGTTCACAGAGGCAAGAAACCTTGCAGAGATTAATGGCAAGATACCAAAGGGACTGCAGACTCCATCTGCAGGATGGTTGCAGTGAGGAGATTTACTCCGAATACCCAGCCAAATGCTCTGCTCTTCGGTGACCTCAATGTGGTCGTACGTATCTTTTAAGAATGAAGTATGTAAAGGTTTAAGAGAAGAAATAAACGTTTAAGTATTTACGTTTTTGAGTTAGTAATGTTTAATTTTTGAGAGATTCAGTTTCAGAGACAGCCTTATAACTGCTGTTTTAAAATAAACTGCTTTAGACGATATTTTAAAATGAAAACTTCCTAATTTCTTGCAGAGTTTTAGAACATCTAAGAGAATTTTAGAATCACTTTAGGATCATTTATAAGTTTTTAATTACATTTATAAGACTTGTTTTGTATTTGGGGGAGTTTTGTTAAGTCAGATCTGTTGAAATATACAAAAAGGGTATCAAATAAAGTACATTTATAAATGCTGGGGCCAGGGGTTGTTTTATTTTTTTTTTTGAGATGGAGTTTCGCTCTTGTTGCCCAGACTGGAGTACAATGGTGCAATCTCGGCTCACCACAACCTCTGCCTCCTGGGTTCAAGGGAGAATTTCTCCTGCCTCAGCCTGGGATTACAGGCATGCACCACCACGCCAGGCTTATTTTGTATTTTTAGTAGAGACGGGGATTCTCCATGTTGGTCAGGCTAGTCTTGAACTCCTGACCTCAGGTGATCCAACTGCCTTGGCCTCCCAAAGAGCTGGGATTACAGGCGTGAGTCACTGTGCCCGGCATATAAATGCAGTTTTTTGTTTTGTTTAGTTTTTTTGAGACGGAGTCTTGCTCTTTCGCGCTGAAGTGCAGTGGCAATCTCAGCTCGCTGCAAGCTCTGCCTCCCGGGTTCATGCCATTCTCCTGCCTCAGCCTCCGGAGTAGCTGGGACTACAGGAACCCACCACCACACCCAGCTAATTTTTTTTTTTTTTTTTTTTGCATTTTTAGTAGAGATGGGGTTTCACTGTGTTAACCATGATGGTCTCGATCTCCTGACCTCGTGATCCACCCACCTCAGCCTCCCAAAGCGCTGGGATTATAGGCGTGAGCCACCGCACCTGGCCTAAATGCAGTTTTTAACTGCTGCAAAAGTATTTAATCACCTCAGTAAATTCAACAGCCCCTATAAGTGATCATTAAACAATTTTAATGTACTTTAGGCCGGTCATAGTGACTCACGCCTGTAATCCCAGCACTTTGGGAGGCCAAGGCAGGCGGGTCACCTGAGGTTGGGCGTTCGAGACCAGCCTGACTGAAACAGGAATTAAAGAATGCGTAAGTAAAAACTCAGTTACATGTAAGAAAACCCAACTCCCCCTGAGAAAGAGAAAGAGCTGGAGTCCTTTAAAAATTAACTGGCTATTTTTCTGCGGCTAGTGAGCCTTATCTCTCCTCCTTTCCCAGGCACTGTAAAGACCCTGATTCCCCAGCTGTGCAGCTGCAAGGTCACCAGACAGATAAACTCAAGTCACAAAAGGTTTCCCTTGAAAAGCAAGAAATGATGTAATGCATGTCTCAATTAATTGAATAACTGCCTTTGTTTCTCGCTTCTGTAGTATGCTTCCCCCTGCACAGCTGTCCTTCCGCCCTACGAAATGCGTGAAACGTAACTTCACTCTGTGTTCAGGGCTCAGTCCTTTGGATGCTAACCCGACTGGGCTGGGGCACCTAAATAATTAATAATATCCTCCTGAACCCCGTCGGTCTCTCTGATTCCTTCAAAATCCTGCAACATGACCAACATGGAGAAACCCCGTCTCTACTAAAAGGAATACAAAAAAATTAGCCAGGTGTGGTGGCACATGCCTGTAATCCCAGCTACTCGGGAGGTTGAGGCAGGAGAATCACTTGAAACTGGGAGACGGAGGTTGCGGTGAGCCGAGATGGTGCCTTTGCACTCCAGCCTGGACAACAAGAGCAAAACTTCGTCTCAAAAAAAAAAAAATTAATGTACTTTAAAGAGGAAAAATGAGATTTTCCGATGACCTTCAATCTCTAAGGAAAAACTTTGATATTGTAACTTTAATAAATTGAATATTAATCATTTAAATAAAAAGTAAACCCCTGAATCATCTTTTTAATATATGAAAAACAACCCCAAACTCCTATCAGTGGTGGAAAACCAGGATACTTCCCAAAGAGAGGGCCTCAAGCCCTGAGGGCTGCCTAGAGATGAAGACGGCCTAAGTCTTCTTGATCATAAAGTGCTTGAAGAAAAAGGAAGTGCTGCTTCCAGCCCAGCCCTTCAGCCTGAAGAAAGCAGAGCTGGGCAGAAAAGGCCCAGTCACAGAGTCAGGACCTTGTAGGCAGGGTGGAGAACTTCAGCCAGGGCGCAGGCGGCCTCCGCAGCTCCAGGACATCCGGGAAAAGCCCACGTGGCCCAGCATCACGCAGTCTTGTGA